TCTATCTTTATCTATGGTTTTTTCTCTACTTTATCCAAGAAAGAACGGCTTAATAACAACAACAAAAGTGTGTCCATTGGATAGATAAAGTTATCGGGATTAAGGATATCTCATTCTAAAGTTTTCAGCTTTTACAGCTCCGGTTACGTATTATGAATTCAAAACTTTTTAGTTTTTCTTAATAGCTCTTTAATATGAGGAATTTAAATAAAACCAAAATTTCAGTCTAACGTGCAATTTACTTCAGTTCGACGTGGAAAACTGTGTAATGCATTTTTTACAACTGAAAAAATTACCTTCTTATAGCTCATCCTGAAAACATTAACTGAACAACTTGTGGAAAATTTACCAATTCTTTTTTAATGAATATAACAACTTTTCCATAAACTTTAATTAAATCGGATAATATTCTATTTTTTTTATATAAATGTACAGCACTGGACTTTTAGGGCGCTTTGCGCCCATCTTCTATTTCAATCGTGAATATGTTCTCTTTGTGTACATTGTAAAACAAAAACAAAACAGAAATTTTGCGGATTTTATAAAAAAAATTTCGTAGATTTTCAAAATTTTCAAAAATCGAATTTTGTTAGAGGAAAACTTTTGAAAATTCGATCATCAATAAACCTTCCCTGGGGTTACACGAGGTCCCACAAAAATTTGGGGCCCGGACGGTTTAGCCATTTTGACATTTATTGGATACAAACTAACAAAAAAACAGACAAACACGCAGACACCCAAGCAAGGTATATATATAGATGTATATTTACTTAATTGCGAGTTGCGCCCTTCAACAAGATTCGAAAAAAAGAAAATGTGTAAGTTAATTTTTTCTTGTTAATTTTTTCTTGTTGGGTTCTTTTATCATTTCGAAATCTAACAATAACAGAAAAATCCGTATTTTTTGTCTTTTTTAATGTAAGAATAAAATATAAAAATACAGATACAAAAAACAGGCCGTCAGTTATGCATTTTAATAATGAAATAAAAGTACAAAAACTGAATACTCTTAATTTTGTTACTTTGATCCAAAGCTAGAAATAATAATATTCAGGTGCAAGTTTTCAGCTCCATAACTATGTTGTTTTTTACATATTTAGTTTTCTATCCGTAAGAAGCTAAAAATACAAATTTGTATTATTCCTCTTTTCTTTATTTTTTCCAGTAACAAGTCAGATTCTCCCCGTCCCCCAGCTCAGAGACCACACATCCTTTTCCGCACACCTAGCTGGCTCTAAATTTGTCTTTCTTAAAGCTCCCTCCATTTCCTTATCCCTTAATTGCTTCCTCAAATCTGGCCTATTCTTTCCCCCACCCCTTTTTCCCCTTCCCATCCTCCTTTACCCCATCTTAACTTCACATCTGCCTCCCTTTCCTCCCATAACAACATATATTTCTTTCCCTCCTGACCTCTTGCATCAACACTTGACCCTTTGACAAAAAATCCCCCCCCCTCACTTATTATTTGAGCATATTCCCTGGGATGGGAAAAACAATAGGACAAATTGATAAACCCTGATATCCAGCCAACATATCTTTCCTTGGACACATAAAATACTGACCAGAGAGTGCATGATTTCTATCTATGTATTGATCTATCTATCTATCTATCTATTTATCTATCTATCTAAATATCTATCTATCTATTTATCTATCTATCTAAATATCTATCTATCTATTTATCTATCTATCTAAATATCTATCTATCTCTCTATCTATCTATCTATCTATCTATCTATCTATCTATCTATCTATCTCTCTATCTCTCTATCTATCTCTCTATCTCTCTATCTCTCTATCTATCTATCTATCTATCTATCTATCTATCTATCTATCTATCTATCTATCTATCTATCTATCTATCTATCTATTTATCTCTCTATCTCTCTTTCTATCTCTCTATCTATCTATCTATCTATCTATCTATCTATCTATCTATCTATCTATCTATCTATCTCTCTATTTATCTATCTATCTATCTAGATTGTACCATAACTCTCTTGAGAACTCTGCCACCCAACAAGGAACTCTGCAGCTGAGAGAGGTTAGACTGTCCCAGGTAAGAAAAGGGAGAGAACCAAACTTATTAAAGGTACTGATCACTATAAAGTAGTTTTTGTTATTACTATTGTAAGTATTATAGAAATGTCTAGAAACCAAGATTATCTCCCTCACTCACTTTTTATCAGTTTTTAAAAGAAAGAAACAAGTATTGAATTTTCAAGAAATTTTGAATGTAAGGAAAAAACGTCATCTTCTTTTAGTCTTTTCATTTAATACTAATATTCAGAATTAATAAATTGTTTTACTGAGCATTTGTTGTACTCAGATAAAATGTTTCTGTAAAAACCATTATCCATCTCTTAAATTGATAATTGTTTCCTTAAAAGCTTTTTAAATGTAAAAACTTGTTTTAATAATGCGCAAATGAAATCTTATATTGTCTGTATCTACCAATTTGATAACAAAGGGTTGGTATTAGAATATTGTCATGGTAATCTACCAATTTAGTAACAAAGAGCTGGTAATGGTATTAGAATATTGTCTGCTGTCTACCAATTTAATCATAAAGGGTTGGTGTTATAATATTGTCAGCTGTCTACCAATTTACAAAGGGTTGGTGTTAGAATATTGTCAGCTGTCTACCAATTTAATAACACAGGGTTGGTGTTAGAATATTGTCAGCTGTCTACCAATTTAATAACACAGGGTTGGTGTTAGAATATTGTCATCTGTCTACCAATTTAATAACAAAGGGTTGATATTAGAATATTGTCAGCTGTCTATCAATTTAATAACACAGGGTTGATATTAGAATATTGTCAGTAATCTAACAATTTAATAACAATGGGTTGATATCAGAATATTGTAAGCTGTCTACCAATTTAAAAACAAAGGGTTGGTTTTAAAATATCGTCAGCTGTCTACCAATTTAATAACAAAGGGTTGATATTAGAATATTGTCAGCTGTCTACCAATATATTAACAAAGGGTTGATATTAGAATATTGTCAGCTGTCTACCAATTTAATAACAAAGGGTTGGAATTAGAATATTGTCAGCTGTCTACTAATTTAATAACAAAAGGTTGATATCTGAACTAACAGGAGGTTTGATTAATATTGGTTTAAGGCTAAGATTAGCTATTTTTAAGTCTAATTAGTTCAGATAATTAGTTTTTCTTTCTTTTTGTTCATTTTTTAAAGATCTTCATTATTAAAAGAGACTGTATAGTAATTTCAAGTGACCCCCCCCCCAGGCATAAACGACAATTTCCGATTGACAACTGCACCTTGAACAGCTTTTTCTGATCAAGTATGAGATATCAACGTTTATGATTCGAGAACTGATTTATCAAAATGTGGTTTCTCTATAAAAGTAGTTTTAATGCAGGAAAACATGTTTGAATATTCAGAATTAAGCACTTTAAAGCCTAGAAAAACTATAATATCTTCCACATTATTGATCAACAGATTCAGTAGATTTAATATTTTGTAATATATTTTAATTGATTTATTCAAGAAAATTGACACTTTACCTTTTCTGATAATCTATATCTGATAAAGTTTTCAAGGGTATCGTTGTGAATCGGGCATTGCCATCTTTGCATGGAATTAATAAGAGAAGGAACGGAAACCTATTTTAAAATAAAATCGGCCGACGTTTTTTTAAAATTCAATTTGGTATTTTTCAAACTCTGGTCACAATCATTACTGATCACTGAAACAAGAGCATTTGAACAAACGAAACGGAATCGATCTTGAAGATTTTACATTTTTATTTCCCGGTAAACAATTTTAAGTTTTAATTTAAAAATTTACTTTCAATAAAAGAATTAAAATAAGTCATGTGATTTAAATCCATGGCATAAAAAATGTCCGATAAAGAAATATTTAAGATTTTTTTTTTTTAATTGTGCATTTAGTTTGTACATAAAGGGAAAAGAATTCATGAAATCTAAAAAATAACCCATTTTGAATACTGCAGACATTCAACCAATTGTTGCAGTATATTTTTATCTTCCCATTTCAGATTTATATGGTTTAAGACTATGCAAGATATTATCATGAATAATTATCATTTCAAAGATGGAATTTTTCAGGATACCAAGTATTGTATTACTTTTATGAAAAATATCATCAAAAAACTTAGACCACCACTAAGGGGGGTGCGCTGTTAACGGAAAACGGTAGTTTTTCATCGACGAATGTAAACGACCTCATCGTTCGAAAATTTTGGTTCTTTGAGAAATTTGCACGAACGAGAAACTGTCGATCTTTTTTCCTTAACGATCGTCACATGTAAAAGACCAAAAACGTGATAAAAAATACAATATATCTTTAACAATCAACTTCATAAATTTAACAACATTGTTAACGATCACACATCGTTAACCATTAATTATCGTTAACGGTCAACAATCATTAACGAACGGTGATACTCATTTGTTAATTAAAAAACAAATTCCCTTACTAACAAACATGTAAAGAACATTGTCAAAAATGAACGATATCGTCAGCTCCAAGCAGGGTTCAGTTATGTGTTTGGTGTGACGATTCAGAATCAATAAAATTTGCAACGACGGTAACATCTATCTATCTGATCTATTAAATAAGAGATAAATCCTCTGAAAGTAAAAAAACTTTAATTTATTTTGTTTAGGTGAGTCTAGTTATTGTTGGTGTGTTTGTGTTCTGTCACGGGATCAGATGGATCCCAAATATCTGGGAGCTCAGGCAGGCTAACGATGACAAGGTGCTTTTGCTTTTGGTTTTCCATGATCTTGATCTTGATCTCGATCTTGATCTTGATCTTGATCTTGATCTTGATCTTGATCTTGATCTTGATCTTGATCTTGATCTTGATCTTGATCTTGATCTTGATCTTGATCTTAATCTTGATCTTGATCTTAATCTCGATCTTGATCTTGAAAATAATAATAATAATAATAATAATAATAATAATAGTAATAATAATAATAATAATAATTAAAATAAATTATTCAGTAAACTTCTGTATCTACCTAATGAAGCATCCGACGGTATTGAGGCGACTGTATCGCTCTGGTTCAGAAAATATGGTGAGTTTAAGATTTTTTTTATGACGCAGAATTATTTTCTAGCTTCAAAAGTTCTGATTTCTTACCTTTAGAATTTCCGACACTAACTGTATAAATTTGCTTTCTAATACTTGTGCTTAAAATGCAAACTAGAGGAGCTACAAGGGCACAAAGTCGTACAAGTAATGTTATAAAGTTTGACCATTTCCTTTTGTCTGTCTCATTCATTCTTGATCCTGCAAAGATTTCCAGTGCATCGTTGTGAATTGTACATTACGCTTAAACTGAAGGGTTACTTATAACAAAATACATTTTATTATTTAAACCTTAAAAGGTAATATTTCATAATTTTTCAAAATTCCATTCTTTTGTTATTTTAAGTAAATATTTTTGTAGAACGGCCCCGGAACTGATGTTACTACTGTTATACATTCCAAAAAGGTTTTCCTCTTTTTTCATTCTTTATTATTTTTATTGCTAAAATTATTAAATTAAAACGACTTTTTTAAATGTTATTTCTTAACTCTTGTCTTTTATTCTTCTTATTACTATAATTATCATTATTATTGTCATTATCATTATCATTATTTTTATCATTATTAGGATTAGTATCATTATCATGATTATTAGCATTATTGTTGTTTATTTTTATTATTATTATTTAAAACTTATTTCTAATTTAGGTATCTCAGTGTATCGTTCCGAACATTCTTCTTACGGAGGAAATGGGACTTAGAGTGGATACAGAACAGAGGTTGGATACAGAGGATATCAGAGGGATGGATACACCTCTTTAAGATCTAGGATACAGAACAGAGGTTGGATACAGAGGATATCAGGGGGATGTATACACCTCTTTAAGCTCCAAGATACAGAGCAGATGTTGGATACAGAGGAAATCAGGGGAATGAATACACCTCTTTAAGCTCTAGGATACAGAACAGAGGTTGGATACAGAGGATACCAGGGGAATGAATGCACCTCTTTAAGCTCCTGGATACAGATAATAGGTTGGATACAGAGGAGCTCAAAGGGATGGATACACCTCTTTTTTAGCACTTGGATACAGAGCAATGGTTTAATTCCGAAGAGCTTTGAGGGATGAATGTGCTTAGCTCGTCAAAAGATCTCAATAGAACAAAACCTTTTTAGGGTCTTGGATAAAAAGTAGTGTTTAAAAAAATAGCCCACATGATGAAAAAGAACACAGTTCTAAAACATTTGAAGCTGATAATGAAAATACTAAGATATGCCAAACAAACGCTTTTGACATAAATACAATGGGATTTCAAACAGCTGGATACAGAGAACACAAGGAGAAAAGATGCAGCTGGTTTAAGAGCTGGATACAGAGAACACAATTCAAGGAGAATAGATACAGCTGGTTTAAGAGCTGGATACAGAGAACACAAGGAGAATAGATACAGTTGGTTTAAGAGCTGGATACAGAGAACACAATTCAAGGAGAATAGATACAGCTGGTTTAAGAGCTGGATACAGAGAACACAATTCAAAGAGAATAGATACAGCTGGTTTAAGAGCTGGATACAGAGAACACAAGGAGAATAGATACAGCTGGTGTAAGAGCTGGATACAGAGTACACAAGGAGAATATATACAGCTGGTTTAAGAGCTGGATACAGAGAATACAAGGAGAATAGATGCAGCTGGTTTAAGAGCTGGATATAGAGAATAAATTTATGTTTAACAATGTGAAAATTAAATGTTAATTATTAAAGTACAGTGACAACTGCCAAGTACACTGTACAACTACTTGTAAATGCTGGTTTTGACTTTAAACTTGACAAGAAACAAAACAATTAATTTCAAATGAGGTTAATTAATCAATTTTATCAATAAATATCCTTTCTACAAATGACAAAAACAAAAAATATGCTTTCCCAAATGATGGAAATGTAAAGTTGACCTGGGAAATTTTTTTTATCAATTTGAGCTAGGTCACTGAACTACCTAGTACCATGCCGTATCATATATTTGACAATGATACAGGGTTACCCATAAATCATGAGACTATTATGACGAACTAAAATCCTTTATATCTATGAAATAGAAGATGGGCGCGAAGCGCCCTTTAAGCTTAGTAATATATATATATTCTAATCCGTGTACCTTCTGCTTCAGTATGAAATCCAGCCGGTACTTTCTTATGCTTGTACCGGCCTGCCTCTTGTGTAAATAGTATCTGTCTGTATTGTTAGCGGAACATTATGTTTGTTGAGATAAAACAAGATATTTAGTAAATCCATCATATCTGTATACTGGGGCTGTATAACGTAGAGTTCCTCTGGACAATGTTATTTATGTATTCATGTAGCATTACCGACCATATCATTCATAGAAAATAAACACACTAAATGTATTTTATGGCCTATAGTTAGTGGGGGTATGGGGAATTTTTGCAGCTCTATTTCTCGGTTTCTTTTCTCCCTTATAAACCAGATTAACAAGCCTTAAGACACCTTTACAGTAACCCCACCAGCCACCCCACTATGTCTTTAATGTTATGATTAATGTTTTTAATCTTATTTAATTGTACAATTCTAAATTTTTAAATGTACACTTTTACACTTACACATTGTACAGTTCTATAGCCGTACAGAGTTCAAGGTGTACACTGTACAATTCCCAGAATTGTACAGTGTACAGTGTACATATCTGTACAGTGTACGTAACTGTACACCGTGTTATACATAGTGAATTGATGTACCTTTGCCCCATGTACAAATATGTACAAATATGTACCTTTTAATCAGATTTTTTTTATTTTTACATTTTACCTTTTTAAATAAATGTTAGAAAATACATTTTGAAAGACAAATTCTTATAAAAAAAAATGCATATTACTTTAAAAAAAAAACTAATTGTTCTTTTCAAGTTAATGTCTATCTATTCAAATGTTGGCTTTTATCAAATGTTTTGTAAAATATTTGAGTTTAAACATCCTCAGAAAACAAATATAAAATTAAAACCCTTATGTGTGAAATTTGTTGTACGAAAATATATAAATGTTACAATATGTGAAAAATATAATATTTTATGCACTGAATCATGATACAGTGATAACCAGAAAACTCTGAAATATGAAAAAGAATTTTTAACAATTTGATGTTGTTACAAAAAGAATAGTTTTACTAGACACTTATTATACCACTAATTTAGTGAAATGGGTCAGTTTACACTGCACAATTGCTGTGTCTCATGTTTATTTGACTATTTAAAATCATGACAAGTATAAAAGTCGTCTTTCTATTTCAGAGTTTTCTGGTTATCACTGTATTTGTATTTTTATCATTGTTAAAATCTATTGGATTATTATTACTATTAATTTGGTTAAATTATTAAAATTATTAAGAGTATTAAAAGTTGTAACGCAATCATTCTTTTATTATTTCATATAATATGAAAGTTATTAAATTGGGTTTTTACTTTTTAGTACAGGGTGTTCCGATAAACATGAGAATTGAGTGACAAATACTAAACCTAATTAGCCTTGTGACTTGTGTTACCTAACTTCAGAAGTCATTAAAAAGTTATAGATCTGCTAGAACATATGTTATGTAAATGATAACATCGATGGAAAACATTATATGATGTTCTATAACATTTAGATAATTAAACTAAGAAGTAATAAATCAAAAGAGCATTAATACAGACAATATCAAAACCGTCATGTTTATTGGGACACGCTGTAAAATACATTTTAGACTTTTTACGGCTTTAGCAGATTTACGATAATTTTAATTTGCCAGACATATTTTCTTATCGTTTATCAACACCTTTATATTTGATTCTCATCCAATATCAATGCTGTGTCATATTTCAATCCTTATCACAGAATATAATTGTAAAATCTCGAAAATTCTCAGCAATTTTATATTTAATGTTTTTTTCTTTGTTTTTACAGAAAAACATTTTTAAGAAGTTTAATAAAATATAAGTATTTTTCCTAGTTATCTCTTGATAGGGTCATTCATAATAAATACATTTTTCCAATTAATTTTTTCTAGGAATTGTCTATTTTTAAAGTTCATTCGAAACTCCAATTCATTCTAAGTTATAAGCCCACACCTTAGACATGAACCAGCATTCACCAGAGTCTAAAGTTGCAGTTAAAATTTGTACTGTACCGCATTTTACTTGTACTAATACACTAAAGATTAATCTTTCTGGATATGTGATGATTCATTTGGTGTACCGTACCGTTTTGTCGTAAATAGTCTGTGCGTACTATGTGTACTATACTACTTGGTTTACCTGCCTAAGTCGATACGGTACTTCAAATGAACCGGAGTTTCTAGCGATAGATCAAGCCAGATTTCTGCATCCAGGCTAGAATAGATCTGTACTGTACAGGCTAGGCTAGACTTAATCTGTACTGTAGGAAAGCCGTGCAGGGTCGAAATATCAGGTACATACGGTAAAATTACACCTGTTGGTATTAGTACATGGTTGAACCGGTTCGGATACTGCACTGATTGATTCATCTCAAATACCGTTTCGACGTTTTGTTAGCTCGTTGTACACTGTACACTGATCATACAGACGGCAGAATGTTACAGTACACCAAATATATCTGTTCCTTCTTGTGAGAAGTACATTCTAATTTCTAATTTAATTATCTGCATTCCTAACCATTCAATATTTGCAAAAATTATAGTGAACAAAAGTAATACAGAATTATATTTATATTTTAGATTTGATCATTCATTTAGAAAACCGCTTTGTTGATCGCAACCAATGAGATCAAGTAGTCCTTAAGCCCAGTAAAGTAGCCCAGTAGTCATTTCCTGCATATTGTTTTACATATGAAAAAAGTAGGATTTTAGAAAAGAATCTTGAGAGATCCTTTTATTTAAAAAAATGTTTAAGTTATCCTGCAACTGTACGATTGAAAGTAGATGAAAAAAGAAAAATAATACAAAATCTCTGTTTTTAATTGTTCAAACAGATACTCCAAAGTTTACAATCTCTTACGAGAAAACTTCTATGAGAATTTACTTTCCTGAAACTAAAACTAAAAAGAAGTTTTTAGATTTATAAAATGTATATATCTTAGCCTACATAAAAAGTAATTGAGTTAGAGTGGTGAATAATAAGGTCTAGGCGTCGCAACACTTCAAAGTTGATCTTGTATTGAAAATTGCACGGCCCGCTTATAGATATGATTCTATCTATCTATCTACACTGAACTCGGCCACAGTACAAATTTTATTTTGGTAATTTTTTCCATGGGCCTACCAGCTGATGTAGCAAACCGGAACCTAGATTTGTTGTGTTTATTTTAGGGGCATATTTATGT